GTAAAGATGCGTTGTTTCGGCGGGTTTTTGTTTGGAGAAGAAGTCAATCTCATGTGAAGTAGTTGCGCGAAAAAACTCCGAGCTTTGTCGATTTCCGTCGTGATTATGATTTGTTCGAGTTCTCCGTTTTTTGAATAAATCTGAGCTGTTTGTTTTTGAAGTGCTTCTTTGGTGATAGCAGTAATGAGGTGATGTTTTGAACAAAGTAAATGCATCTCATTATCTTGCCTAGTTGGAAGTTCTCACAATTTTGCTATTCACACAAATGCGAGAGAATTTTCGCCTTCGTCACTAGTACAACACTACAAAGCAGTTATGTTTGTGTTTTTCGCTGTCTTTGTGGTATGCTTCATTTTTCTCAAAAAGGTCATTGTCAATTTCTGCCAAAGAAATACAACAGCCACGTCGTGATTCTAATCTCATTTCTGGCATGTTACGGCAAGCGCTTAGTGAATTCGAATTGTAACTACTAATTTCAAAAAGCCAAAATTTGCAGACATGTTGAAGGAATTAGAGATTTTTTATACTTGTATTTCATCACGATCAGAGACCGATGAGGATAAGCAGCGCTGGATGCTAAGAGTGAAGTAGGTAATATCCCACGAGAACAAAATCCACTCAGTTTGTTTGCACTTAGTTGCGGTGTGTGCAAAGGAATGGAAAGCTCACTAGCCTATGCACTTACGACGGACGGTTTAGTCGTCGCGATTTCGTCGCCCAAGCCATCAAATTCCCCGGACGAAATCGCGACGACGGTATCGCAAACACTATGCCCGTTGCCTTACGCAACGGTCGCCTAAGTCTACTTCGATTTGCGGCTTTTTTCCGAAAGAATGTGAGCGGTATTGTACGGTTCAAAGTTAAGCAAATACTCTTTATTTTGAAAGTCTCAGGACTTTTGGGGGAACCCCAAAAAACAGTTGGTGCTGTGTAACAGAGCGTAGCCGAAAACGGCGTACGCAGTACAACAATGAAAAACAGTGGAATGAATTTGCTCCTGTTTTATCGCCTCGCGATTTTCCTAAGCATAGGTGCGAAAGTGTGAAAATTTTCTCAATCCCTTTTCACCCCTCAGCCGGGACCAAGGTGACCCCCTTCACCAAAAGAAAAAAATCAACCGTGAGGTAAGGTTAAGCAAAGGAGATATTTGTACGTGAATTGTTTATGTATAGGAAAGGAGGAGTCTGTTGAAAAAAGTGCTTGGTGACGGGTGTGAATAGTTATTTCTACACATTTTCGAGTTTTTAACGTAAAAAAAGTTCATAACTTTTGTAGATGAACATCTTTTACGGCTGGTAACCACTGGAACCCTCTCGTCTTCCGCTTTCAGAAAATGTATACCTTGCCTAGGGTCCGCTGAAAAAGTGCCGGTGAAGGATGGGTGAGACTTTTATAATGGAAGTGCTCAAATACAGGCTTTTTTACCATTGTAAAAAGATGTCTACTTGAGCATTCCTATTATAGGGGTCTCACCCACCCTTCACCCGGCATTTTTTCTAGCGGACCTTAGGCAATGTATATATTTTCTGAAAGCGGAAGACGAGGCGGTTCCAATGGTTACCATCTCGCCGTAAAAGATGTTCATCTACAAAAGTTATGAATTTTTTTTTGCGTTAAAAACTCGAAAATGTGTAGAAATTACAATTCACACCCGTCACCAAGCACTTTTTTCAACAGACTTAAAGCAAACTTTATATACCCTAAAGCGGATGACAAGGTGGTTTTAAAAACATTTTTCTTGCTGACGTTGCTGCTCATCTACAGAAACTACGAATTTCTTCTTTTAAAAAATTCGTAAATGCTTAAAAATTGTCTAACTCTTTCCAAACAAATGTTCCCGCATGCACATCTTCTATGGTAATTCCAAAAACAGCCAAGGTGATGTAAAAAAGGAAAAGGAAATGTAAAATACAAGGTACTGGTCAGAAATATCTGTGTGCTAATCCAGCAGCACATCGGTTCACATTTAAAAAAAAGACAACCAGTGTTGGCAAGGAAGTGAAAATTATAAACTTTGACTAGGAAAAATGATGAGAGAACACCATGGCTCTTCCCCCCCCCCCCCGCTTTCTTTAGCAAGTGAAACAGCCTTCACCCTGGAGGGGCTGCGATCTGACCCCCTTACCCTGTAGGAGTCATTCTCACCTTATCGCACCTGTGCTCCTAAGGGATCAATCATACCTGGTCTAATCTTAGGAAAAAATCCGAATTTTTCTTCTAATTTTCCGATTTTCCAATTGCTGCGATTGTTTACAGTCTCCCCGTAGGCACATATTCTGTAAGCAAAGTTTGGCGTATGCAGATAAGCTTACAAGAGTAATGCTCTTACGCACTTAATTTCTACACGCAATAGATTTGCGGACATCTGCAAATTGCCAGATCGCTTATAACCGCCTTTTTGGAGAAATTGCGCATGGTGTGTTCGAGGCCAAATACGACAACTGTTATGAGTCCATTCCATGCCGTCATATTGCAGGTTGTAGTAGTTCTCCTACTCGACTAGTGGTAACCGATAAACAATGCACATATCAATCTTTATTCATCATTCCTTGTTGATGCTACTGTCCTATGAACTTAAATTCCAGCAACGTGAAGATTCTGTGCTCCGATCGCTAGCCTGCCCGCAAGCGGGAATTCAAATCGCAATTCTTGTAAGAGGAAAATAACAAAATAGGCTCGTTTTCAATGCACAAGTAACGATATGGCACCAAATTTGCTGTGTAGTTGGAGGACCATGAGCACAAAAAAAGTGTGAAGAATTATGAGAAACTTATGTGAATTTGAAAAATGGTAAGTGTTTTTCGAAATTAAATGACTCCCGCGCCACCTGGGAGCCACCTGGGGTGGCTCCCTGCTTCCCTTCACATAATTTCCCGGATTTCTTTACATAAATGTGGACTAGGTCGAGAGTATTACTATATGTTCGAAATCCGCTTCCAAAACCACCAAGGCACCGCTTCGATACAGCCCCAAATAGGGTTCACAGCGTTATGATCGGCCTCGGAAAGCGCGCTCCTCCCACAGTACTAAAGCGGCGAACTATTTCTTGAAAGTCTATATTCATTTCTCGTTTTACGTTTCACGGTGACTTTCTGTTTACAGTGTATTTCTTTTTGTTTGGATTGTCTAGATTATGTGCTTTGAAGGGTTGTCCATATGGCAATCAACCATCTTGATTGCAGACCTTGATTTCTCTTCAATCGTCGTTCTCCATCTTTCAGAGTTCAGTCGTCTTCTATTTCAGAGTCATGACTAGGACCAGATTTCGAGTCTTAAGCAAAATAGAGACAATCGAGATTCTGCGAATAAAGTTCCACCACTCGGTTAGCGATTTGAAATGAGTTTGATTATAGTTGCGGTCATATATTTATATGTGTCATCTTTCTCAAGCTTCTTTGTTCGGTCTAGCCTATTATGACTTATCTATTTTGTTTTTGGTTTTCGATATACCCTTTTCTAACGTTACTTCAATATGAGTGATGGTATGAAACTTTGATTTCCCATCTGGTTCTGCTCTAAAAGGTTTGAATTCCATCATTCTTCAGTTTAGGCCTCGGACAGAGTTCAAGCGATTTGATCGTCGCGATTTAATCGCCGCGATTTTCATTCATTTTCATTTTACATTCGAAATTTTGCTCTAACAAAGTATCACAACCGGGATGCAAGTTGGTCGGCATGCAATGAACTTGCAACAGTTGTCTTGTCGCGATTGAATCGCGACGATCAAAGCGCGTGAACTCTGTCCGAGGCCTTAGCATGACAATCTCGTACCAGTCTGGAGTGAAACAAATTTTTGTTTTGCAGTCGCGAGCTGTTTTCGATTGACCAGCAGCAAGTGAACAATGTAATCTCATTTGAAGTTAAAACGTATCTGCACGAAGTTCTTGAAAGCAAAGTGAATATTTTGTCATACTTTCTGCATATCGAAATCTGCATCATTGTATCGTCAGGTGGGGCACACGGCAGCAGAATGATCGGGCGTGAATGTTGGTTTTGGTACAAAAGACCGTAAAACAAACAGAAAAAGGATGTGAAGAACGCGTGAATTCATTTTTGAGTTTCCCTTCATTTACAAGAATATATTGCTAAGCCACCTGCTTTACCTTATCGAGCATTACGGCATATCCTGGCGCCTTCGTCTATACTCGGTCGTACTTTGATCTCAGCTTGTGTACTAGCTCGTCTTGAGATTCTCCGGTACTTCGTTTCACAAATTTGGATGCTAATCTTCTACAACAATTGTTACTTTTTGCGTTATTACAGTCATTAGACACTCTTATTCTTGTGACTACATGTGTGTTGATATCTTAAGGTACATTCTTCTTTCTCGTTTTGTTCTTAACTTGAGTCGTGCTCTTTGCGAACTTTACTCCGTAGAATTATATTTACTTGAGTGTTGAGTTGCTGTGAAGTCACAAGATCTCGGCTGTCACGGAAATTTCCCTTGCTGATATGGTTCAAATTTTGCTTAGGAGAGTGTACTGTCACAGTAGCTCAAAGTACCGATACGAATTCTTATAATGTGCAACTCATTTGATCTTGCAGATTTCTTGGTTCTTTTATGTTATTGCTAGCCCTTTGGACAGTTTAGTTGTTGAAAGCCTCAAATCTGTTTTTCCCGGTTTTCACTAAAATACTTTTTTGTAGTGGTTCACACACGAAAAAATTTTTGGTGCAGTAATCGATGCGGACTTGCTACTGCTGTTACCATACGTTAGGTTCCCTGCGAGACTTCAGATCGCGCTGGAATCCGTCTGTACGGATTGTCCATCAGTCCTTATCAAGTATCTTGCTTATTTGTGTCTGGAGGCTCGGGAATGGATTCCGAATTTTGAGAGTTGGCTGTAGGAGTAGTTAAATTTGGAATAGTTTTCAAAAATTCAAATTAGCCTTGTAAAATTATTTTCTTTTTTATCAAAATTATATGGGTTTTGGACAAGTTTAAATTTTAGGAAACATCCCACTTGTAAAAGAAATAGCAGTATCTGACTTCTCGGATTAGGGTAGCCAGGATTAGGCATCAAGCGGAAAGTCGTAAAAATTTTCCGATTTCAAAGGGGAAGTCGTTTTGAAAATTGCGGGACGCCACCTCTTGCCGGACGCTGGATGAAGTTGCGTTGTATATGCCCGGTCTACAATAAGAATCTGAGCGTTGCATAAACGAATACCTCATGCGAAGCTTCTTTTTCTCAAAACTCCAATCCCTCGCGTTTGAAATAACAAAGTTCAAGAAGTGTGTTGTCCACCGAATTTAGTGCACTCTAGAGGAGGAGGAGGAAAAGACTTTGCCGCCATACCCGCAGGACATAATTTAAAAAGCGAGCACTGTGGGATTGATTCGGCAAGGATCCAAATAAACTTGGAAAAGAAAATAGAGAGAATTGTAAGAAAACATACTCGCATAACTCTACTTGAGAAAACGCGGAAGAAACGTGAGATCCAAACTAGGAATTCCCTTTTACGGCTTTAAAATAATTTAAAAAACCACGATTTTACTTTTTAATGACGATTTTACACAGCAAATTTAGAATCAGTACTTCATCAGGTCTTGAATTGTCAGTTACAAAATGGAAACGGTACCTAATGAACAAATAAAAATTGTGACTAGCATTCAATGAATTCGAACTTATTTATTTATTGAATGCATAAAAAGTGCGCCCAACTCAAAGGTTGGATAGTTTTAGATTTTCTGAAATTCAATCTGAGGATTCGGTAAATTCTCAGCAGGATTTAGCAATTTTAGTTCTTGGAATTCTGGCTGAATAAAATGACGGATTGTTGAAAGTTAGGATAAGATTACAAACTCAGGCTTTGATTCGAACAGGTATTCGTAAACAAAAACACGAATTCTGTATCACAAACAGGCATAAGGGACCCGTCTTCCAGCTATTTTGCTATGTACTACCTCATGTCATTCTGGAAGCGAAGTCAATACTCGAATTCAATACTGCTTGGAGGATACAAAATGATAGTTTTATCTTTCAAATTGGAACCTGGTCAGTTCTCCGCAGTGCTTGCGCCTATAATTATATTCTGCGGACACATGCGGCTAGCTCTGGTTCCTCCTGCCTTCAGAAAGAGGGGCTTAAGTTTTCTGACAGCTCAAATGATTTGGACTCAGGGCGCACTTGAACCTTGATCCTGTGGTAGGGGGACTTTAAACAGTTTCTTAAGTCGCAGTATGCTTTCTGGTCAGATATGTTGCTTGACCCCTCTGTACCTGTCAGAATTTTCGTCCGAGTTTCACCTTACCCTGGAGTCCGCACAGCTTGAGCCTCAAATCTCAGCTTCTGCAACCGCAAATCCTACAATGAAGTGAGCACATAGTACGTACAAGTTTGTATGATTGTGCGAGCTAGGAAATTTCTGAGATCTCGAGCATCTTTTCGAGCATGCAGGCGTCACCCGCAAAAATGAATGTGCACACCAAAGCGCTCATAGCTCTTGCTTTCTAGCTCAAGAGTGTCCAAATTAGCTTTGCGAAAAATCACAAAATTACAGCACGGATACACCATTGTGCAATCAAAGCACTCTTTGAAGAAGCAGAAGCCGAAATTTGAGGTTTTGATGCTAGCGGAAGGGTAAGGTTGCCCGCATTGTTTTGAACGGCGGAAGTTGGAGAATTTTGACCGTTTTCAACGGTTTTTTCAGATTTCTCTCATTTTGGTTTTATTCCTCCTCCCGCTCCCCTTTTTGATTAGCAGAACTTCGAACTCGAAGCGGGGTTGAAGAATGAGCGCTTTTCTGCTCCATGTATCCGGAAAGATGGGCGGTCGTGCGACGTGCGATTGTCAGTCTGTCTTCGTGATTTTCGCTCAAAACTATTTGTTCCAGGAAGCAGCTGCGTAGATTCCATAGCTTGCCACGAATTAGGGAGCAGGAGCAATTCTGAATCTGGATGAATCGAGACTTGCCTCTTGTTTTTGATGATTTTGGCGTTATCAGCCCCTTTCGTTCTTTCGTCGCTTCTTCTTTTTTCTTCTACCCCGTTTCTCCTTGTGATAAGAAAAGCTGCGAACTTCGGGGTTGAGGATTGAACGCTGTTCTGCTCCATTCCGGGAAGATGGCCTTCGTGCGCTCATCTATTCTCTCATCTCTACTTTTGTTCGGACCTACTTCAGTTCTAGCAAGTCGCTGCGTAGTCTCCATCTGTATTGAAATTGAACATGAGCGAGTCTTTAGGACACATGAAGTAGTCCTGAATAAAAATGGCAGAGAAGATGGACGAGCGCACAAAGGTCCATCTTCTCAGATACATGAAGCAGAACAGCGTTTAGTCCTCAACCCTGCTTCAAGTTCGCAGCTTTTCTCATTAGAAGGACAAGCGATAGGAGAAAGGGCGGAGATGCAACGATATGGAAAAAAGGGGATGAAAAAGCCCAAAAACAAAACTTATCAGAAAATAAAAGAAAGCTCCCAATTGCATTTTCAAAATTAATCATTGGCTGTGGAAACTACGCAGCGGCTTCCTGGAACAAATGGAGTGGTTTTCAGCAAAAATAACGAAGAGAGAATGACAATCGCACGACCGCCCATCTTTCCGGATACATGGAGCAGAAAAGCGCTTATTCTTCAACCCCGCTTCGAGTCCGAAGTTTTGCTGATGAAAAAGGAAGCGGGGTAGAGGAATAAGGGCAAAATGAGAGAAATCGGAAAGAAAAACCGTTGAGAACGGTCAAAATTCTCCAACTCCCACCGTTCAAAAACGGTGCGGGGCGGCTGCAGCGCATGCAGCACGGTTCTGGAACTGTTCCCGCACAGTTCCAGCACAGTGCGAGAATTGTGCGGGAACAGTTCCAGAACATGAGAATCAGTATAAACCCATCCTTAAGCAGCACATCTGGAAAAATTTATTATATCTTAAGACCTGTTACAAGCTGTTTGAAGCCCTTAGGCCACATGAAACAGACGCTTCAAAGGCAGCGGCTCGGCAGATTTTGCACTTCCATCTTTTTGCATGCTTTGGGCCTTCTCGACCCGTAGATCCCGAATCTGAGCTTTAAAAGGGGTGAAAAAGCCTTTTTCGGGGCGTTTTTTTCAATTTCCGAAAGGCAGCTCGGACGAGAATTTTTTAAAGGAGAGTCGGGAGGCCCTGGCACGAAGACCCTGCTGCCTGTAATTTTGGCTTTGTATAGCATGCATGCACAACGCGGGAAAGCGGTTGGGGGGTCCCGCGCCGTCTAGTGGAGAATACTCGTCCGAACAAGGTGTTAGGGGAGCGAAAGGAGGAAGGGGAGCGACGCTTGGGCCGCCCCCTGGCTTGCAGAATTCACATTTTCGGCCCGGAGTTGCTCTTTTGCTTCACTTGGAGGGCCTCCTATCCATCTCTGTCAAAATCTAAGGTGGGTCTATTCTGCCGAGCCGCTGCCTTTAAGCTCAATGTATTTGAAAACATTTTGTGTCTAATCGTAAGAAAAGTAAAACTCCTCTGTGTGAAGTGCACTGGCGTTTACCACATTTCTCGAGCTTTGTTACCGTAACTTTACAAAAAAATTTTGAACGTCAAAGGCTACAGCTTTAAGTAAAAAAAAGCTTTACTTCAGGTGTTCATAGAAAAATTCATTCCTAAGTTGACGAAACTTCAATCTCGTACTGCTTATGCCGTTTTTGGCTATGCTTTTACCTAACACCAACGGTTTTGGGTTTCTGCTGAGATGTCCTGAAACTCTTGATATAAGAAGTGATCATAATATGAAACACTTTACTTTGGTGTCTTTTTTATATTTTCTGCGAGATAGGAGGGATGGATGACATTGTAACTGTTCTCCATCGCAGTTGCGATCAGAAACAGAGTGCACATCATTGGATGCGCCTTGTTGAAAGATTCCAAAACTGACTTACAATTAGAGGCAGTGTCTCGGCAGAATTTTCGTTTTCCAGTTTCCATGTTTTCTTTTCGGAGCCTTCTCGCCATGAGGAACCCATACCTGGGCTTTTCAGAGCATGAAAATTTCGAAAATAAGCTTTCCGAGGCCTTTTAGGTCCGCATTTAGTGAAGATCTAGTCCTGTGAGGGAAGCGAGGCGGGACTTCTGTCTTCCGCTCTTCGCATCCGTCGTTCCGGACCCCGCCCACTTGCACCCATTCTCCAGCGAACGCGGAGATAAGCTTTGAAAAAAACTCATTTTCGCCATTTTCATGGGCTGAATGCTTAGATATGGGTTCCCTATGGCGAAAAGGCTTCGAAAAGGTGAAAATCTGCAGAACGAAATTCTGCCGAGACTTTCTTTCAAGACAGTGTTCCGGCGAAATTTGACTCTTCGGTTTTTCACCTTATCGGAGCCTTCTCTCCATGCTGAAACCACACCTGGGCTTCGCAGCGCTTGGAAATGGCAAAAATGAGCCTTTACAAAGTGTCTCTGTGTCTGCATTCGATGCAAAATACGTTCATGTGGGCGGGGTCGTTGGCAAAATTCGGAAGACTTCCTTGCGAATTTTGGGCTTTCTAAAGGCGCCTTTTTACCCTATCTAGTGATAGCCTAGTTTGAGGGTCTACCACAGCAACATTCTCGACAAGCACCATCTTTCCGGACGCTGCCTTTAAGTCACGCTAAGCGGCTCTAGAAGAAGTTACTGGCGTCTCATGTCTGAATGGCAAACATTCAGTGTCTTCAGCTACAAAATTTGATTGTTTGAAAGCACTTGTTTACGAATGACGATCCAGGGGGGCTTACCCCGCTCCCTCCCGGAGAATGGGTCGCGGGATTTTTGAAATTTACTTACATGGGTTATAGAAACGTGCAAGTGACTACCTCCATTGCTGTTTACGTTTCATATACGCATTCCTTGTAATCAGTGCAGTCACCACTATGCCAGTCAACGCATAATGCATCAAAACTCTGATAATTCTATGCTACCGCTCATGAAGTTTTGCAGTGAATCGGTCAGCAGATACTTAGATAATCGCCGGGAGCGAATGTTGGCCGCGCGGTCCTTAATGGAGGACCGCACAACCCGTAGGTACATTCCGTTAAAAGAAAATACCCCAAACTTCGGGTAATTGAACCACCGTGACACCTCTGACATGTAGAGTGTTAAGTTTGTGCTCGATGTGCGCCCGAAACTGCGACAAGAGTATAGCGCTCGCTGAAAAAAATTATTTGGTGACCGCTTGCAGAAAATGCTGTTTTGCT